TCAACCTACAAACAGCTTTAAAAATCCATATATATGGTAATAAAGATAAAACTTAGGAGCAATAACTACTTATTTCCATTTACTGAAGTGAAAAGCAACCATTTCTTTAAAATATACAACTTGATGTTCAGAAAATGATAGCTTGTGAATTTTTATTTGAGTGGGGGGGTCAAAGGGGGGGTAGGGAAAGAGGGAGAAGGAAAGAGGGAGAGGGAGAGAAAGAGAGGAAGAGGGAGAGAGAGAGGCAGAGAGAGAGAGAGAGAGAGAGAGAGATCCTATCAATGCCCACAGGGCCAGGCAAAAGCCAGGAGGTGGGAACTCAGAGTAGGTCTCTCATGTTGGAAGTGGGAACCCAAACATTTGAACTACCACCAGCTGCCTCCCTAGGTCTATGTTGGGAAGCTGGGGCCACAAACTGGAGTTGGGCATCAAATTCTGATACTCTGATATGGGATGTGAGTGTCTTAATCACTGGGCCAAATACCCACTCTAGCATATAAATTTTTATTAGGCAGATTCAGAAATCTTCAGATAGAGAAAGTAATTTTTACCTCTTTTCACTCATTCTCTAAATATACAGGAATTATAACACTCCAAAATGTAATTAATTATCAAGATCAGTAGTAACATTAAATGCTGTATCTACCCTGAAGAGTAGTTCTATATTATATGTTCTTGGTTATATAGGAAGTTGTAAAAAAGCTAAACATCACTAAAGCAAAGAAAATTTAGAGCATCTGTCTACCTGTGCTTAAGACCTGTGTAGGCAGCCCTTGGCAGTCAGTGGCATGTCTACTATTCTTTCAACTGGGGGAATCTCAACAAAGAATCCTGGTGTATGTGTATGAACTTCAACATACCTGGCTATAAGTAAAAAGAGAGAATGGTAGATGCTGAGAAATTAGTTCACCTCTAGAGGGAAGGGCTCTGTTTCTGGGAAAGTGAGAGTGGTTTCTAAGGCTTGGTATGTCCCAGGCAAAGACATATCTGTGACCTGAGGGCATCACTCTACAGACAACACCAAAGTCATTCTTAGTGGCAAAGCTATAGAAACATCGCCTCCACCTGAAAAAAATGCTGTCAATGGATAACACTGAAGGTTGTTCTGGAGATGGAACATCAACGATGTAAAATGACAAGATGGCCATTTAACACACTCTTGATAAAAATAACATTGTCCTACACTTGACATTCTGGGTACTTCTATAGGATTCTAGGTTGCAGTCTACAGGAAACAGATGCTGGTATAAAGTTATGAGTGCGAAAGATTCATTGGGGGTTGACATCTGTGAAAGGAAAAAAGGATTGAGTAGGGGGAACTGTCATAACATGGTATAGAGCTGACCATGTCTCTACCAGTTCAAAGGGAGCTCTGAATCAAAGGCAGCCCCAAAGAGAGTTTAGTATTGAATACAATCAGCTTGAGTCTTGCACCATTGCCTTATTCAATGAATGGCTAGGTGCTACTCTAGAAATAACATTTCAGGTTGAAAGCTGAAGGCAACCCTGACAAAGCTAACAGCTGGAAATGATTGGCTAACCCCATTTGTTGAGGCAGCACGTAAAACGCACTTTCTTGAAAGGGAATCTGGATGCAGATATTTGATGCAGTGGTTAAGACACCTTTTGGAATGTCTGCATCCCCCATTGGAGTGCCTGGGTTTGAGTTCCAACTCTGCTGCTGATTTAGTTTCCTGCTAATGCATGCTCTGGGAGGCAGCAGGTGATGGCTGAAGAGGTTGGGTCCCTGCCCCTGGCATGGGATTAAGTTCTTGGCTCTCATTTTGGTCTAGCACAGCCCTAGCTGTTACAGCCATTTGGGAAATGAACCAGCAGATGGAAGATCTCTCTTTGCCTCCCAAATAAACAAAAATTTTTATTAAAAGACAGAAAAAAAAAAAGAGAAGGGGAGTATGGCAGCTTATTTCCATGTTTACTGCAGTGCAGTGAAACAGAATTTTGAGTGACCGTGTCTTTGGAGATGAAAATTGATTAGATCAGAACAGGAGGCGTTAGTGAAGTTCTCTAACATTCTAAAATTCTACTTGAGGTAGCTAATTCACTAGGGAACTAGATCAGAACATCAGGATGGAAAATATTATTAGATGTTGCATAAGGCTTCCAAAATGGTTTAAAAAAAACTATTGTTTTTCCATTTCATTACAAGTAAGTTGCTCCTATTGGGACAAATCAACAAATCAGTTCCTCTGCTTGTGATGCCCCACTACAGGTCAGATGGGCTTAGTTGTGAAACAGGCAAAAGGCACTCAGAACAGCCTTTTTAGGGATGAGAAGGAAGAATCCTTCTTTCTTTTCTTTTTTTTTAAAGATATATTTATTTTATTTGAAAAGCAGAGAGAGAGAGAGAGAGAGAGACAGAGGGAGATCTTCCATCCACTGGTTCACTGCCAATATGGCCACAACACCTGGGACTGGTGCAGGTCAAAGCCAGGAACCAGAAACTCCATCCTGCTCTCCTGTGCAGGTGGCAGAGGACCAAAGCAGTTGGGCCATCTGCTGCTGCTCTCCCAGGCTCATTAGCAAGGAGCTGGATGAGACGTGGAGCAGCCACTGTCTATAGCACGCAGTAGAGCTGAGGATGAAATAACATACATGTAGTCCTTAAGTTAAGGACTCAATATTTGTAAGCTGCTTCTCTTTCCCCTTTCTGATGCTTCTTCTCACAGGAAATACGCTTCTTGCAGAATTATTTAACCTGCTATGCTAGGTTAGCAAAACATTCACAGAACTTGGGAGGAGGGTATAATTGAAAGAATCTGTTACTCTAACAGGATTCAGGGTGTCTGCTTTTGGTCAGGTCTCTGGTTTCCACCATTATGTTCTCAGTGCTGTGCTGGGTATTAAAAATGGTCTCTTTTCTAAGGAGCAGTCTATTTGAGAAACAAATGGATACATGAATGGTCAATGAAAAAACAAGCAAATATAAAATTTGATTTTAGTGGAACCTTACAGAGCATAAGTGATATAGGAATATAATTTTATTTTGCTAATACTGGCTGTTGTTTTGATATTGAGAGGCAATACTATTTGGCATGAAATTGTGAGGGTAAGTGCTTATACTAATAAACTTTATAAAATGGCATATGTTTGTTGTCATGGAATTTAAAAGAGGTTAGGTCACAAGAAAGCAAGTTTCAGGACATTTAAGTATGATTATATCATTACTTCTTATTGTTAGTAATGCTCTTACTACTTGATGTATCAAGGTGACAAAAATAGGAAGAGCTGAAAAATGCTTTGAAAAGCTCTATCAGAAAGGCTTATATTTTTAAATTGATGATCTCTCAAGAAATTTCTATCTTTATTAAATCTTGCTATTTTAACCAGCTAACCCAGTGTCCTTACTCACTCTGGGAATCTCCTCTGGACACTCATGAGGGAAGTACAGTGGGTAGGACTCCAAGTCCTCCCCCTTCCTCCCTTCAGGGGGCTCCTTTGTAAGATCATTTAGGGAAAAAAGAGCTCAACTATCTTAAAAAAGATATCTGGGCCAGATCATGTGGGATCATACTTTGCAGATTTTAGAAAGCAGGTCTTTGGGTTAAAAGGGACTCTTCCCTGCTCTGTCATATTCTTGTACTTGCTAAAGAAACTCACTTTGTGCTCTGCCTGAGACACACACAGTAGGTCATGTGTGGCTAGCTAGACACTCGGAGTATTACAGTGCTTCAAACAAAGTGATTCCTTACTAGTAAACCTTTGGAATTATTGGTTTGACTATTATCAAAATATAGCCCTACCTCATTTCATAATGTTCTTCTATCCTTCCAGTTACCCAGAACCTGAGAGGCCTCTTTCCTTGTAAACAAACACTGAGGAGCCTGCTGGATTCTTAAATGTCTTACTGACAAGAAGGAGGAAAAAAAAAAAAAAAAGATTTAAATTCTTTAAATTATCTCACACAGGATTTTTTAAAAAATATTTATTGAAGAGGCAGAGACAAGGGGATGGAGAGCTCTGATGTACTGTGCCCTCAATGGCTGGGGCTGGCTCAGAATGAACCCAGGAACCAGGTTTCCCATGTGGGTGGCAGGAATCCCAATTACTTGAGTCATCACTGCTGCCTCCCACAGCTGCATTGGTGACTTGAAGGTGCAGTCAGGAGCTGGAGCAGGTAATTGAACCCAGATACTTCCATGTGGGATGTAGGCATCTTAACTGCTAGGCTAAACAACTCCTCACACAGGGTTAAAAAAAGTTTATCATTTTAAACTATTTTAAAGGGAGAGAGAGGATCTTTCACCTTCTAGTTCATTTTTCAAATGGCTCCTCAACCAGAGCTGGGCCTGGCTGAAGCCGGGAGCCAAGAACTCCATTCCAGTCTCCCACGCGAGTGGCAGGGGCCCAACAGAAGTTCCAAAACTCGAATAGGCACTGTGAAATGGAAGGCGGACATCCCAAGCCAGGCTTAACCCATTCTGCCCCAACCCCCACTCTCTCACAGAGGATTTTGTTGGGTAGTGGAAATACTCTGTATGTAGTATAACGCTGGATAGCTGTCATTACACATTGGTCCAAATCGCTAGAATCTATACTCCTAACATAAACCACGGCCTTTGGGTGATAAGGATGTGTCCATGTAGGTTCACCATAATGTGCATAATAATGTGCATGCGGGGGAGTGGGGTGGAGAGGCATATGGGATCTCGCTGAGAAATCTAAAACTGCTCTAACAGTCTTTGAGAAAAAAAAATCTCTTAACTCACTAATGATTTTGAATGAGCATTTTAGTAATGCCCTAGAAACGGATCTCCTGGCGATGTCCTAGGCCGGGTAATAATGGAAAGTGTTAGGTAAGAGGGCGACCTGCCCTCTCAGGTGTTCTAAGAACGCGTCCCCTCTCTCTCCGACATCTCTCTGTGGCGTGACTGCACACTGGCTCATCCCTGCGCGAAACCTGTGCACGCTGAAAAGACCAATCACGAAGGGTGATTTTTTTCTTCTTCTTCTTCTTCTGCTCCTTTTGCCACCGCCCACTCCCGGCAAGCTGACAACCGAGACAGCTCCCCCGGACTAGCCTGACTTTTTCCATCTCCTCCCACCCAGCGACACCCTCCCACTCGCCGCGCGGATGGGACGCCGGAGGACGCAGCGAGCATGCGCGACCGTTCCGAGCATGCTCAGTAGCGCGCGCTGCTCCCCGGAGCTCCTCCGGCGATCCGCGAGCGACGCGGAGGTCTCTGCGGCTGCTGTGGGAGCGACAGGAAGTGAAGCGGCCCTGCCGGGCTACCGCAGCGGCCGAAGCAGAGGCGGAAGGGGCGCTGCGGCGACAACGTCGTCGACGGGGGCGGCCGAGGGAGCTGAGCGCGGAGGGGACCTTCCGGCTCCGAAGCCGGATCCCGAGCCGGGCGGGATGGATCATCACCAGCTGGCGACTGGCCGCTACCAGGTGGTGAGTTCCCGGCCTCCCGGGGCCCTGGGGCTGCCTCCGGTCTCAGGTTATTCCCGGAGGGGACGTGCTGGCCAATTTTGATGATTATTTTTTGGCTCCTCTGGCCCGAGCTGCGTACCTCCAAGCTCTGAGCTTGCTCCCCCCACCTTTCCTGTCTCCCTCGAGACCCATTTCTTCGGTCCCAACTCTCCTGCTAGCCCCTCAGCCGCACCGTGTACCCGCCTGTAAGACACCCTCCCGCACACCCACATCCTAGAGCTTGTGTGTGTTAATTCTCTCCTAACCCTTTCTTTATTTTCGGGCTGCTTGACTCCGGACACATTCCGGCCGATTGTGTCCTGGACGCGGGGCTCCGTTCGCGTACCTGCCAGGGAGGCGTCGTCGTCACTAATGGGGTGGTGGGAAGAGGTGTGAGCACTGTGCAGGGTGGGATGTGGAGCTGGCGAAAACGTGGGTTAGGAATTGTGGCATTGTTGAGGGTAGCTGTAGTGCTGATCTTGTGCCTGCTCTCGTTAACCTTGTCGTTTTGTCCTTTTTCCATTATGTTAGTTTGAAAAGTGTACGTTTTTTTTTTTTTCCCCGTGCCCACCGCCTTTGAACGGGGAGAGGAAACAGAGGAAGTTTTATTAGAAAAAAATTCTTGTTTGAAAAATTCCTTTTTAATTAACACAAGATTTTCCATCTTAACTGTGTTACAGTGTATGAAATGTGTTGTATATTTTCAGTGTCAATTAAAAAACATTTTTTCCCTGTGCGTTTTAATTCTGGTGGCGTTTGGAGATATCTGTTGTAAACCTTACTTAAACGTGGACTCGAAAATAATTTATTCTTTTGAAGCTGTGTAGCCTAGTATTCTACAAACTTTCAGATGGTAATTTGGTTAAACCTGTTTACTGAGGGAGAGGGGAAAAACAGTATGACCTGCTGATGGTGTAGTTTTTAGTTTATCACCTTTTACAAATGTAGATGTGCTGTCTCAGATTTCACCTTTAAAGTCTTTCTTGCCTGTGACGATTTATTGTGTACTAAGGGTTTCCATTTAATAAGTACGTTTTGACAAATAAGAAGGATGTTGAAATCTCAGTGTATGTAATTTTGCACTTTTCTAAGATGAAAGCATGTGATGCCTCCCTTGACATGTGGATTACATTTTGAAGAACCGCCAAACCATCCATGTTGTGAATGCTTTGAAAATTTATAAGTATTTTCTGAACAACCTAGAAAATATTTTTGCTGCCAGTGTGGAAGGCATTTTTAAAGTTGTCAATATATTTACTTTTGGTGGTTTGATTGTTTTTTTTTAAAGGTATTCTTATTTTTGTAAATGTTAGCAAAAATAAAATGCAGAAGATAAGTCTTGAATAACACTATCAGTGAGACTTGTTTTATTTTTCTTATCTTTCTTGTTCCTGTTTGTTTTCCTTCATGGTATAAGCTGACTTAAATTCTTTCTCTTTGGTTGCTTTTGCTTCTTGTAGTCAACCATGTTCTCATAAACACAAGTTACTCCTTAAAATATTTTTAACTGATGTAGTTGTGCCTTAAAAAGAATTTATTATACAAGTGTCATCACATTTGCTGTTGAAAGTTATGACTAGTTAGACTGTTTTTCAAAGTTCCTGTTACCAAAATATTAAAATTTATTCTCTCAGTTTTAGGATACTTTTGTTTTCCTCTAAATCCTTTAAAAATGAATGGATAATGTCATATTTTATTGCTCCTTTTTTTCAAATGGAAGCAGTGTCCTTTGTAGACTTTGGATAGGTGGATGTGTTCCTTGAGAGCAGAGGGCAAAAATCAGTTCTAAAGTACTGCTCACCTTAGGTAGGATAGCACCTTGTTTTCCTTCTAAGGCAGAGGGTATAGAATCTGAGCACAGTTTAAATTTGGACTTCAATTTCTGTTCCTGTGCATTTCAGTGATTTTTGGCTATGAACATTCTTACTAGTTTTGTTGAGAATGATTTATATCCATGTTTACATATATGCCAAAGAAGCAGGTGAATTGAAGTTTCCAGTAGACTTTTTAGCTGGAGCTTAATCCCATCTGTGCCTCATATGATGAACACAAATATTTTGTGGCTCCCTTAACTCTTTTTTTTAAAGACTCTGGAATGATTAATAACTGGAGCAATAAACAACTTTATTTGGTGACTCTGTAGGAGATAGGCAAGTATATTTAGAGGCGAAATGATGTAGCATGTTAATTGATTACTTATGTAAACAGTAAAAATTAAACTCTCCATTTTGGAAAGTTAGCAGGGATACCCAAAACCATCAGAATGACTTACTGCCATTAACCAGTGGACAAGCTGGAAACCTGTATGTGGAAACTGTTTTCCTGTCCTCCATTCTTCCTTTCCATCATTCTTCCTTTCCATTGTTAAAAGGGTCTGGATCTTGTTAAGTAAAGCAGTGGATAACAATGGGGAGCTACAGAAAGTCTTGATTGTTACTCTTCTAATTTAAGAAAAAAGCCAGGTATGATGTGGAGTTTCATTGTGTTATGGGAATTTTATGCTTGGTAGGAACAGAGCAATGTTGCCAAACTGTAAAGTAGTCAGATGTGGCCTGCAGCTGTTACACCACATTCTAACTTTGATGTTCTTTTTTTAAAAGGATTACTTATGTACCTGCACCACGCTGACTACTAGGATTTAAAAGGTATTCAGTATAAAGATAAATTGGCGGTGTTGCTTATAGCAGTAGTTTACCAAACTGTATTCCAGAATGCTGATAATAGGTGTTCTGGGAGGATTTATAACATATTAACATATTAAAACAAAGAGAAACTGCCCAGTAAAGACATCGATTTGGATTTGTTTACCCCAGTTCTCCCTGATCTTTGGCAAAAGGTTTTTTTTTTTTTTTTTTTCATTTTAAGATTATATTAACATTTCTGAAATGCTAGTTTTCTGTGGAACATAATTTGAAGTCCACAATTTTGCATTATTTTTCATACACCAAAGATGTGAGTACTTGGCACTTATCTGGAGAGAGAGTTTTTTGGGAAAGGAGGCTTGACTATTAATGATTAAAAATAGGCTTGAAAAGTATTTGGGCTTATGTTTAGGTTGTCGTGTTTGCACATTTGTGAGACATTGGCTTGGTTTGTTAAAGTCTGATTTTCCATATTGGTACCTAGCTCACTGGGATTATTGTGAGAGTTAAATAATGTAAAATGTAAAACATAAAGAGACTGATACATAAGAACTTAGTTTGTAAACTAGTAAGTTTGTTAATGTTTCATGTTTGCTGGCAGAAAACAGGGGACTCGCAGGTCACAGACAGTTGACATTACTCACGGCACAGCAAGCAGCCTGAACATCAGCATATCTGTGTAGCTTTTTCTTGCTACCAAGTCCCACCAGTGTGGTGAATGTGCAGATGGACATTTGTAATGGGTTTATGTCACATCTGAGGAACTCAGGAGTCAAGGATGCAGTGCGACTTCCCTTTTTTTTCAAACAGGCAGCAAATACTGTAGCAAGCAACAAACAAATGAGTTCACTTCTCCTTGGGAGGGAGCTTACATGTGGTGGTTGCCTTAATCTTTGTTGCTTATGTTACTTACTGCAAGAAACAGCTTAGTATCAGGAAATGGCAAGCTTTGTATTCGGCACACTCAGCAAGCATTTTCAAGCACATTCAGCTGCAAAGCAAACTGCCTCACCTAAGAGAATGTGTTTCAGATTAGGGGGTCATCAAAAATTTTACCAAAAATGCAATATATTTTTGCACAAAAAGAAGCTTATCTTTTGATTATATTTTCCACAAACAAGTATCCTCATGTATGGTGGTTTTTCAGGGTAGTCATTTCCTTTCATTTTTTCATTGAGTACTGCGGTCTTTTACCTTATACTGGTTATCATCTTTTCTTCGCCGGCTTGATTCCATTGATCTCACTTGTTTATTTCCTTTGAATTTACTTATATACTTTATTTGGTTTGTTTTCCTACCATACCTCTTTTATATAAATCAGATTACGTTATTACATAATCTAATAGGTACCTTTCAGTTCCTGCTTGATTTCTTGATTATATTGACACTGGACATTTCTCCTTGAAACTCCTTCTTTATTCCTGATACCAAGAAACTTTTTTTAACCTCTCTCTCTCTCTTTTTTTTTTTTTTTTTTTTTTGACAGGCAGAGTGGACAGTGAGAGAGAGAGACAGAGAGAAAGGTCTTCCTTTGCCGTTGGTTCACCCTCCAATGGCTGCCGTGGCTGGCGCACTGCGGCCGGCGTACCGCACTGATCCGATGGCAGGAGCCAGGTACTTCTCCTGGTCTCCCATGGGGTGCAGGGCCCAAGCATTTGGGCCATCCTCCACTGCATTCCTTGGCCACAGCAGAGAGCTAGCCTGGAAGAGGGGCAACCGGGACAGAATCCGGCGCCCCCACCGGGACTAGAACCCGGTGTGCTGGCGCTGCAAGGCGGAGGATTAGCCTAGTGAGCCGCGGCACCGGCCTTACTCTCTCTTTTAACTTTAAAGATTTATTTATTTATTTGAAAGGCAAAGTGATGGAAGTGAGGGAGGGGGATGAGAGAGTTAGAGCAAGCGAGAGAGAGATCTTTCATCTGCTGGTTCACTCTAGATGTCTACAACAGCTAAGTCTAGACCAGGCTGAATCTAGGATCCAGGAATTCCATCTTGGTCTCTCACATGGGTGTTAGGGGCCCAAGTACTTAGGTCAGCTTCTGCTGCCTTCCCAGGTGCATTAGCAGGAAGCTGGATGGGGAGCTAAGCAACTGGGAATCAAAGTAACCCTCCAATATGGGATGTTAGCTTCGAAAACAGGAGCTTCATCTGCATCAGAATGCTGGCCCCTACTTCTCTTACCCCAGATTTCTCTTTGTGAACTCTTGATATACTTACTTGACACTTAAAATGTTGATTCTTTCCATGGCATGCCATATTGTGATAGTCTGCGTAGTTCTTCCTTCCTTCATTTGACTGTTCTTGACTGTACTGTTTGCATTACATGAGTCACATTTATAG